GTGCAAGATTACTAGTTGTTGTCGTTGTTGTTGTTGTTGTTGTTAATATTATTGTTCTTGCTGTTCTTGTTTCTGTTGCTGATCTTGAACGAATGATCGCAGTACAAATCGCTGGCTGATCCTTCGGTGATACCTCCTTTTTCAGAGCTTAAACGTAAAATATTTGTCCAGGTCGGTGATGAAATCGATGTTTAGACACTGTTCCTTTGATGGAGTCAGTCGGAGTATATTGTATCAACCCTGCATATATCTGTCCTTCCAATTATAGAATTTTCACATTTTGACAAGTAAAACAAGCCTTCCTATAGCATAACACAGTACCAAACACTTTTTTCTACTTCATTGTACATAATGGTCTCTATCTGTGCTATAAATTCGATTTCATTGATCCGGATTAAGTTGAGTATATTGGATCAATTCTGCATATACCTTACATTGCAATTATGGAATTCTCGCATTTTGAACGTTTGAACAAGGATTGTCATAGCATAACACAGTACCAAACACTTTTTCCTACTTCATTATACACAATAGTTTATACATGTGTTATCAATACGGTTTCACCGGTTCGGATCAACTAGAGTATTTTGGATCAGCTTTGCATATATCTGACCTTCAAATTATGTAATCGCCGAATTTTGACTATCAAAACGAGCGTCCTCATAACGTGACACAGTGCCAAGGATTCCTCTCTTTTCGAGTGTTTTCTTAAGGCCACAGCTCAAATTTTAATTTGCCAAGTGATCATTTTTGAGTGCAACTGTTCATCACACACTCCCGGTAGAAGTGAAGTCTGGGTTCCATCGGCTGACGCAAATGTTTTTGCACACCACTCTACAATATTGGGTCTATTGTAACATCATACCACTGCAATACGCGGTCAAATAAAAATGAATTCTGATGGCAATATTATATATAATAATAGTATGGTCAAAAGAATCCTTCTTCACAGCAATATAAGAGATTCGTTTTCCGATCTATCATTGAATTTCTGCTCTTATGGATAACATGAGACCTACTTCCTACCTTATCGGTCTGAAGCTTATAATTCGAACACGATTGCAACTGACAAAGGCGATTCTCGTTTGACTTCAACATAGTGGGACTCGACAATGCATCGTTTTTCGTTGGAGTTGCAGCTCTTTCGTAGTACAGTCTCAGAATCGAGTTTTCTCTACCAGTTTTTTGTTCTTTCAACTTCCGGACATAGTCGGACTTCACGAGACCTTGCTATTTCAAATTAACTTACGCGGCCACTACAATAAAGCCAAGCCCGTCATAAACTAAGAAAGTTTAGATTCGTTGATATACGCTAGTGCATGACAAATTACCTCCTGTTATATAAAAACGGCCCATTTATCGCTTTGGTGTAGCTGCGCCGCATTGCAAGCATGGCTCGCTATTAGATGCCTTAGACCGAGCTCATCAAGCCATCGATCCCTCCTAAAGGCGGCAAACTGCTGCCACACTTATTTGTGTGGGTAGCAGCACTGTCTCTTCATGCGGTAAAACGACGGAAACTCATTGTATCGTTGAGATAACAATTCATACACCTCTAACAACGCATTATAAAGTCCAATGCATGCTGCTAAGCGATAGTATTTTCGAGAAGTTGGCGACAACAGCAGAATAAATCTATTCTTGTCGAAATGGCCTAATAATCAAAGTTTGAGCTTCTAAGTAACAGTTTAGCAAAATCAGTAGACTCATGAAGCCATCAGGATTCCAGATCAGTATTTACACTCACACTCATCTTAACAACATAGAGATCTTTTGAACAGAAGACAGAGAACCTCCCAAGAACGACCAACTCCGTCGATAGAGACATCGATAAATCCTTTGTTCCCGCATTCGCACACAGTGATAGCTCACGTGCAATCACAAAACAACAATAAACACAGAATTAGATTATCCACATTGGGATTCAATGAGAGAGGAGATGTGAAAATTGCTTTTTCGTCGGTCAAATACTACAACAATTTCAGGAGGAATAGCGACCAAAAAAGTAATTTCTATCATTGAACAATCGCCCTAGGTCGGTCTTGCATTTCGAAGAAAACTACCAAAAGATGTTATGTCTTTCAAGAAGTTTTGTTCACTATAAACAGAGCTGTGAACGCTACTTCATTTGTGTACCGATCAACTCTACACTTCGTCTGGATGTTACGGTTGAGAAGAGTAACATCGGAATACAGCTACTGCGGACATTCGACGCGAATCATCGTGGTATTAGTGAAGGCCGTACTGTCAAAATGTTAGCCATGATATAACAAAGATTCATAAAACTTTGCGCCAACTCTTGACAAACACAGAATACACAGGTATTATGATGCAGCTGAAATAACGGAGAGACGAGAGGAGCGCGATCGAACTTGGATGCAGCAGTATCTACTAAAGTTGCGCTTCCTAAAGCCGCTGAGATCTCACTAGAAGACATGATAACACAAACGCATCCAGCCAGCAATCAAAAGAGCATATACAGTTTTTCCACACGTATCTTTTAAGTGTACTGCGCGTAAAACGTGTTCCGATGAGATTTCCGACTTCACCATGGAGCAACAAGTCAAGTTTCTTCTGGGAGACTGCACATATCAGTGGCTATAAGTGCGGAAAATCCAACCATTCCTAATGGGCCACTACACAACTAACACAGAGGTCGTGCTTGTCGCGAGCCAACAGAAGTTCCTTTTTTTAGCACAGCGGTGTCCACTAGGGCTACATCGTAGTTGTTGTTGTGAATGACGAAAATTTTAATTAAATGTCATTACATCCTACATAGAACGGCAACGTGAGTACAGTCGAATAGTTAAAGCAAGGTAATAATCATACGAAAAGGACACATGAAAGTTATCATATCTCAACATTTTTGTGCGACACATAACTGCAGCAAACAAATAAAGACGTGTAATTCAATATTTGTGTCTGAATAATCATCAAGCATATCAGTAGTATACATGAAACTCGGCATGTACAACAAAGAAGAAAAAGGATATCAGACAAAAATCATATTTACAGCAAATAGACAGCGACATGAAAGCGACTATTACATCTCCAAAAATCTTATTGTGTCGACTAGATAGAATTTGATATGTCGACGCAGGCTCGGCGGTGGCCTCTAGAAACAAAAATAGAAAAAAATGGTCAAGGAAAGCGTAAGGAACACATAAATGACGACAAGTAAGAAACGATCTGGCGAAGTACTATATCACTAGCTATAGAAAGTAAGCTAGACTTATGAGTGTTTTGAGGATAAACAAAGCACTCGACATGTCGAACAAATCCTCGTCATAATTTTGCAACAATTCAGCGTAAACGATGTGACACAATTTCACTCGTATGACAACGAACAAACCTTCCTAAGAGTGAAACAAGTCAGATCTTCTGCTACAATGAATAAGAACAAAATTAGAGCTTGTCACGATTAATGCGCGGTGAATCTTGACAAAAAGGAAAGATTTTACACCTTCCATTTGCAAAAACTATTGCTCTTATGTAAATGATATTTGCAGGTAAAACATTGTAAATTACTGTTGGCTACCTATAGGTCATATAGTCTGCAGTGCAATCGTTTCTGAGCGACGATGCTTGCTGTCTTCACACGCGACACGCGAGCTGATAACTTGAAGCTACGATTGTCTGGAACCAAGACGTGTACCAAATCTATTCAAATTCTCTTCTCAAGAAAATCATAATTTTGCTTTTTATGTGCACTACTGCCATTTCTCAAATTTTCAGAGTAACACACTCCATCCATTGCACTAGTAAATCGTTCATTTCATTCCAGAAGTGTTCAGTCAAAAAATTGTTCTCACCTTTAGAAAAAGCTCGTTGAAGATGATCTCTGCCAGTATCGCATGACATGCTCTGTAAGGAAAGGCGTACCGATGTACGATCATTGTGAATGAAAATAATCTACAAAGTATTTCGTAAAATCATAACAAATAAACTATTCTATGAGTGGAAGGTGACAAACTGACAAACCTATGTGGTGGCGTGGGCGACAGTCCATCCACGATACGTAGATTGTCGTCGGGAGAGTACCGCTGACATGGAAAATAATCCTGAGGAAGCAGTGGTAATACCTAGAGTGAAAAAAAGGAACTCATAGCGTGTATTATACAATAATTATCAGATAGACAAGTAGAGAAGACATTTATATATATATATATATATATATACATATATATAGGAGCGCATGTGGCGCAGTGGTTAGAGGTGCCCTGCGTTGCACACGAGGTCACTGGTTCGATCTCGCGCTCATGGCTCACCAAGCCATCCATCCCTCCGGGGTCGGTAAATTGGTACCAGACAGGTCTCAGATTTGTCTGGGAGGATAAGCAGCACTGACTCGGTTCAGCGGGAGGCCTCCGCGAGTCATTGTAAAGGCCAGATGTGCATTCAATCACCTCAAACGAAGTTAAAAATTGAAGCCGAATGCATGGCGCATCCCTCAGGGATTGATCAACGCCGAGAGCTTTGTCCTTTATCCTTTTATATATATATATATATATATATATATATATATCCCTTCATTATTATTTCAGCCAACTTGTCATGTAGTCTGGTAAGGGCTCTTGTACACCCCGATACACGTGTTTCGGCTAAAATACCAGCCAAAGAGCAATCGAGTGCGCAAACGCTCTGTGTTAGATGAAAATTTCGCTTGACATGAGTGTAAAACGTTCGTCTTCAATAACACTCTGTAAGGGAGCAGAGCACCCGAGAGAACTGACAATAAAAACATCGAGGGGCGACGGGTTCTGCCCGACTGACGAGTCTGTAAGGAAGAAGCACGTGTATCGGGCTGTACAAGAGCGCTTACCAGACCACATGACAAGTTGGCTCAAATAATAATGAAAGAATCAGATTTCTTTTTAGTTGACCGCCACTTGCGAAGTTATGATGTCACAATGTACCCAATAATGTGGAGTGTTGTGCAAAATATTTGCTTCAGCCGGAATTTGAACTCAGATCTCACTCTTTGTGCGAGCGTATGCTAACCGTATGTGGTGCAACGGTTAGCACGCGCCCCCAGAAAGTGTGAGATCTGGGTTCAAATCCCGGCTGACGTAAAAGTTTTTGGACAGCACTCCACCAAACTGTATTGATAGATATCTTTAAAAAACTGTCCCTCTTCTCCATTAGCATATGAAAAAAATTAGTTTAACCTAATGCTGTAGAATCAATAAGAACTGTGGAGGTTGTGGATTGTTTATATCGCTTTTATTCTGATATTTAGTTTTTTGTGGTCAAGCTCATTCCAAGAACGGTTTAACAAGACGAAGTTCGTTCACAGCTAATAAGTATCATGGTTCGCATTTACTTCTTAATATTCATTAATATCTTTGCTAGCTTTGAATTGTGAATGAACAACGTCCAACAGTGAAAAAGCATTCTAAAAAATAAGTATATTCTGGAATAAAAGCTTTTTCTGCAATTTTATCGAGTTTTTATCCATAACTTCATCTTGCAAATGTATTAAAGTGAAAACTCGGTGTTCCGTTCGAAATCGACCAAAACGAGTCGATCCAGCGATCCATATTATTGGATCTAATGAAAAGACAACAAAAAAGCGCAACCATCATGGAAGTGGTGGAACGCTGGGCCATTTTTGTCAGAGTAGAGAGCAGAATATGTGCAATTGCAATCAAGTGGCCATTCAAGTCATGGTATGTTCGATGCGGTAGGGTCACAATGACGTTGTCGCAGAACACAGAACACAGGACAGTCATAGATAAACAGAATTTTGAAGAAAATTCAGTGATCTATGGAAGGAATATATAATCCGGCGTTGAGCAATGTCTAAGGCATGCGCCACGCATTCGACTTCATTTACCATTGTTAGAAGTGATTCCTTGCTAGAAGTGACATATATATTTCTGGCTCATGTTTGCATTTGCGTACCGATGTAGTAATAGGAAAAAAAACCGGGTACAAAATTGTTGACTTCAAAGGGGTGGAATACTTAATTGGCTCATAGGAGGGTGGATGGGGAGGGTGGGTGTAAGATCGAACTAATAACACACGTATATACAATTCTCCTCTAGGAAATGCGTTACAGGTGTAATGCCCATGAGACATTACAATACGAGCACTACCGCAACGCCTAGCGTTGGTGATCGCAAGTTGAAGGACGACAATAGTAGTCGTTTGCGTGGTGCTGTGATGTGAATGAAATAAGTAATAAATTGTTAGGCCAAAATTACTATGTAATATTGAAGTCGAAGAAGCCAATTGAGGGGAAGTACTCACCTTCTTGGGAGAGCCGTAAAATCCATAGGACGTCGATTTTTTCTAAAAAAATGTTTTCAATCTAACAAATGCACTAGAAAGGCAGTGTTGTGAAATGACACATTAAGTGATCATACCCACTACCTCAGTTCATTCCCATAATCAACATTTGATCCGTCAGACTGCCGGCGGTGACAAAGTAGGAGCTCATATTATGGCTATTTTGGAAATTCAGGAAAAACAACTAAGTCAGTATCCAGTAACACTCATTGAGAGGATAGTACCAAAATGGGATTAACCCACGCTCATATTCGAATATCTTTGTGCATTACGGCTGCTCCGAGAGCATTACAATCTAGGCAGAGTAGCGAAAAGTTGCGTTTTGTTTTCCTACCATTTTCTAATGTTTCTTTTTGAGTAAGAGAGCGTGCTGCGCAAAGGTTAGAGGCGCTCTGCGTCGCACATAAGGTCAGTGGTTCAATATCGCGCTCATGGCTCACCAAACCATCCATCCGTTCGGTGTACCCATAAATTGGTATAAGACTAATCTCAGACTTGTCTGGGAGGGTAAGTGGCACTGACTTGATACAGCGGGAGGCCACCACGAGTCATTTAAAGGTTAGATATACATTCGATCGCCTCAAACGAAATTAAGAAACCAAAGACGAAAGCGTGACGCATCCCTCATGGATTGATCAACGTCGAGAGCTTTTTAGCTTTATATGAGAGGTCATGAATGGTAGAAAGAAAGATCAAAAATTATCAAGGAAGTTTGAAAGAGCAGAAAAGAGTGAAAGTCAATTTGAGAACATATTTGAACCTGTGAACATAATGTTAAAGGTTAAGGTATTCGGCGTTAATTATTCTTTGAGATTATCACTCAGTTTGCATTCTCGTCAAGATGACTGGATATGTCTTGCCTCCATATGATCTTTGACGGTGATTTAAGCCTTCCAGACAAGGCTAACAGCAATTTCAGACCCCAGAAAAGATTAGAAGCTAGGATCATTGGAACACGTGGGTATTCTCCATGCAAAAAAACACGATTCTCCGAAAAACAATCTATCTTTTCATATCAATAAATTTGCTTAAAAATAAAAACTAATTGGATAAGTACCAAAAACTCCAGTGCACAGTTCAGAAAACAAGATGTCTAGTCCAAACGCAAAACGCAGTTCTCTTTTCATTTATTACAGCGCAATAAGGTTTTCTCCTACAAATCTAGCCTAGAACAAAAATGTTGAATGTTCAAAAACTGATTAATTGAGTTAGGTCTAGAGAAAATTCCTTCTAGAGAAAAAAGCAAAGAAACACGAGCACATTTCACGGAATGTAACTATAGTTCGCACAATTCGCAATAAGAAGTGGTAATATTTTGAAAACTCACGTGCTATTTCTACTTAAAACAAGTATACAAAAATATTTCGAGTGACATTCAATACTTCATGGCAACAAAGTTTCTCTGAAATCAAAATTTTACTACAAAAAAAGAAAAATCCCTTGTACAGTTAGGAAAATGGACGCCAACTGCAAAAGTTATCTTTCTTTCAATTGATAGGACGTACTAAGAAAATCTATTCACAAGGCAAACTCAGCATAAAAATCGCTACTTGTCATGCTATGGAATAACTACAAATACGTAAATGAAAAAGGAAAAATTTTCTTATTGAAACACAGAAGATTCTCTTCACTATAAAAGTCTTCGTAAACAAAACATAGTCCTCTGTTTAGTTATCGCTTGGAACTTTCAAAAACAAAGCTCAAAGCTAAAATCTAAAATTCTCAAGATAGCGAATAATTACTGGTGGATGAATAAGCTCCATTTTGAAAAAGGAAAGAAACACGAGCCTTTTTCAAATAAATGCGACCGATTTAACGCAATTCGTAATGAAAAGTGTAGACTTTCAAGACGGAAACGTGATCTTTTCGATAAAAACACGTTTATAGAAGCTCATTCAATGGCAGTCTAATTTTTCATAGCGAGGAAGTCTACTTGACAGCAAAATTCTAGTATATAATGCCAAAAAATCTGCTGTGGAAATGAAGCAGCGCGCTTCAAGAACAAAACTCTATCTTTTTCAGGAAAATGTAATATGAAAGTCCTCTAACAAATCAAGCTTAACGCCACAATCGAAAATTTTTAAGCTCTCAGATGAGTGCAAAAACATAAATCAAAAAGAAAGAAGCAATTGAACAAGTGGAAGTAAGTTTCCTCTCAAAAAGATTCGCTTCTTTCGTTGAAACAAATTGTGAATTCTGGCAGGTGATGGTTTTCTCTACCAAAAAAATTATTCATAAAATCCTCTTCTGTGATATTCCTTAACGTTGATAATGTGCCCTCAGAACCTCAAATCAACGATGAAATTCCTATTTCCATAGAAGCATGTCGATAACAACCCACCGACAGCCCGCCGCGAGCGCGGCGCACTCTCTGCAGCGAAAGCGGTACATGTGGCTGTCAAGGGCTTAACTTACAACGTCCGTGCGCATGCTTTTCATCGTTCTCAAAAAAAATGTTAAGATGTGGTTGTTCTAATGTGCACATATTTGCGTATTTCTAATGAAACAAATATACGCACATTAGAACGACAAAGAAAGAATGGTCGTATTTTTGTGTTATAAGAATGACACAGGAATAACTCTTTGGAGTATTTTTGAAAAAAAGAATTGCTATAGAAGCGATAGGATCCGTAAGGTAAAGAAAGAAGAAACACTGTTAAGACGGTACAATAAAGTGTCTGAAAAAAGTGTCATGCTCATATTGCTTTCGCGTACACTCTTAGCTATGAAAGAATCATCACTGCCCAGTATTCTGATCCACAACTAACAAACAACGTATTTTCTGAGAGCAGAAAGCCTTTTTCAACAGATAAATGATTTCATTGGTAAGAATCATACCTCTATCTGGTCAGCATCTTCGCAACATTTGAACTTGCCGGTGGCGATACTTATGAGGCCACACGAGGTTGTGTGCAGCCAGCATAATACTGGCTCACGCCGTTCCGGCTGCTTTGCTTTCACAAACACTGGAAAGGTAAGTATGTCATGCGAGTCACTCAAACAAGTACTCTTATCTCTTCAGCAAGAAGAAGAAAGTTGATGAAAACATCTAAATTCGTATAGTAAACAGCAGGGGGGGAAGGGGGGGGGGGGGGTTGGCCGCCGAGTAATAGTGATACTCGGCGCGGAGCGCGTGGGATCGAGCTCTACCCTCAAATACTCAAAGACAATTAACAACAATGCCATATTAAACGTCACGGCCAGATAATTCTGTTAGAAGTATTGGGACCCACACAATAACAAATGTGATGACGAACCAATGAAGTGTCTAAAAAAGTGTCTTACTCATCTTTCTTTGAAGTATACTATTGGCAATGTAAGAAAACATTACTGCCCAATATTCCGATACAGAACAATCAAATAATGTATATCTTTGAATGCAGAAAGTCGCTCCTAACAAACAAATGATTTCATGCCTCAATGAAGTCAGTATTTCTCTGGCACTTGAATCTGTCGTAGACGTTCCTGGTGAGCCGACACGAGGTTGTGTGCAGCCAGCACAATCTTAGCTGACGCCGCTCCGGCTGCTTTCGCGTCGGTAAACTCTAGAAAGGTAAAAATGAAATGTGACACACTTAATCAAGCATTCCTATCTTTTCAACAAGAAGCAGAAAATTCGATAGAAAATCTAAGCTGCATAGTAAACAAGGGGGCGTCATGGCCGAGTGAGTGTGAAACTCGTCGCGGAGCGCGTGGAGTCGGGTTCTATCCTCAAACACTCTACGGCAGTTAACATTAATGCCCTATGGAACGCCACAACCACGCATTCCTCGAGACTGCT